AGCCACTGGTCAAGATCCCCGTGGATGAAGATGTTGAATATGAGTTTGACCAGCAGAAGTTTGAGGAGTACGTCTCCTCCTCCTCCTCCCGATCTTCCTCTCCCTATAAGCGCAGGAAGACCACTTCCGTGAAGAAGATTAATTGGCCTTCAAATCTAAAAACTTAGGGTGATAATCTTCGCCCGAATGCTGTTGAAGATTCCTCTCCGGCCTCTAAGGAAGCCGGATCTGATGCTCATGACAACTCCTCAAAGGTAACGGAGCTGTCCATCAAAGGCGCGTCAGTGCTGATGAAAAGGGCTCGTCAGAGGCGCCGCCAACGTCTTGCATGCCAATTCGCTACAGCTTTAGAACATGTGGATGAACTCCGCTACCAATCGGATCTAGAGTTTAGAAGGTGCCAAGTAGCTAAGCCATCGCCGCATCAAGCATCGGGATCCTCCTCCCAACCGTCGACTAACAAATAGGTTCGTTTCAAATGAACCCGTTATACTCTCGAGGAGCGCATCTAGAAGTACCGCACACTTCTTGTGCATGCCCGGATCCTTGTGCAAAAGGCACAAGAATTGCAAAAATAAGAGGTGGTCAAAGAATCACCAAGATCTAAGCAGGTTTGTATTCCAAAGGCTAAGACAGCGTCTAAAACTGTACCGAAGATAGTTAATGTGCCTCTACCTGATAAGAAACACCGGTCATATCTCTCACTCGGTTCCAGCTCCAAGGCTGCTCCCCAACCTTCATCAACTTTAGATCCCGCTCCTTCTGCTCCCGCACCTCCGGTGAAGCCCTACAACAACATGGATCTCTCTAAGTTCAGATTTCTGCTGAAGGATGTCCTCTACCTAAAGATCGAGGCAAAGCTCCTGTTAAGGAATGCTTGGGTCCGCTGAATGATTCTCGAGAAAATATCCAGACTAGGGGTCGTATGTAACCTTCCAACAAGTTGATTCCCGTAACTACCCACTTGGTAGTACGTGTGAAAAACCAAGAGCCCGTTAGGGTTTCACCCTCACAAAGGTGTGATTCCAAATGTGTGACTCCTACGAACGCCAACAAGGCATTACATCCTCAGAAGAAGACGTGTCTGTTACATGATAATGTCATACCTGGGGAATCAAATCAACAGCCGATAGGTTGCTCCGACCATAACGTCGATGAGTTGTACTATCGGGCGGGGGGTACGAATAAATCTCGAAAGAGAAGTACCCCAATGCCGAACTCACACTGCCCTTGTGAGAGGTTATCCAGGATAGTCTTATCAGAGTGTAGCTACCCCAAGAACACTCCACAGAGGGTCTCGATACTCCGAAGGCTTTCCACTAAAGCGTCAAAACCCAAATCAAGATACTCCCACAAAAGAAGATCGGTTATTCAAGATGATGAACTCACAGAAGTCACCATCAACATGGCTGACTAAGAAAAGTCTGTGTTCAATTCGAATAACGCTAATCCCTACTTTTCTCCGGGAAGAAAAGTTGATTCAGGAATAGCCTAACGAGTGTCTGAGCTCCAGTTAGAAGCCATCAGACATGGAGATTACCCAAAGATGCACGAAGGACTGTCTTCAGAAGATGAATTTTCGGATACTTGCTTCGCAATCGCCTCCAACGATACAATGTCTAACATGAGGAGAGCTCGAGAAGTATTCATGATCACTACCGAACAAGTGGCTCAACTTCTTCAAGAAGCCTTGGCCAAACAAAAAGAAGATTTTAAAATTGAAATAGAGATGGTCGTGCAACAGGTCAAGGATTTACATGCTCAACAAATTTAGGAGTTAATCAGCACGGTGAATCTAGCCGTCGTCACACTACCAATCAGGTAGATAGTGACTCAGAGGTAGAGGAGACTATCAATGCTAATGCTTCTCCCAATGACAAAGATGCTGGGGGGTGGCCCCGATAATAACACCAACACTTGGGGTGGCCCCAACAATAATACCAACACTGGGGGCGGCCCTATCACTACTGACAACGCTGAGGGTGATCCTATCGTTCGTCCTCAAAATCGCCCGAAGGAAGATGTAGACGACGATGAGATGATGAAAGAGCTGGAGAATAAGGTCAATACCTTAATGTCCGCTCAAGAAGTAAGGAGAACGGGCATTCTGTGCCCATATCCTAGAGAGTTGGATTCAATTCCATACCTTAACTTCATGCCGTTTGACGGGAGAGGTTCGCCAACTCAGCATATAATCTACTTCAAGTCCCACCTAGGAATGATCTCCGGGAATGAACCACTAATGATCTGATCATTCGTAGGCACCCTTCGCGGGGACGCCTTCGATTGGTATCGACGTCTCAAGCCAGGAAGCATCAACTGCTAGGACGATATGGAAAACTCATTCCTCAGTAATTTCTTCGATGATAACACTAAAGTGTCAATTGGAGCTCTTCTAGATAAGAAGTAGAAGAACGGAGAGTCAGTTAACACCTTCGTCAAACGTTTCCGGATTAAGGCGATGAATTACCAAGATCCGGTCACAGAGGAGTTCATACTCCAGACCTGACATCACAATCTCTCCCTCGATGCCCTTGAAGTTATGGGAGTTATCCCCTCAATCACCTGGAAGGAATTAAAACTGTATGGAGAACAGGTCGAGCACTTCCTTAGAAGAAAGAAGGCCGAGAGAAGCCCGCTGATAGCACCTGTGGTTGTTGTTGATGTTAATCAAACGTCACAACAACAACCTCAGAAACAGCGAAGGACTCCTGATCCAAGGTTCTAGAAGGAGTATTCTTTCAAAGATGATGAAGTTCTAGCCATATTGAAGTACCTCCTCGCCAACGATAAAATTGAGCTACCACCTATTGAAGATCAGGAGGGAGTTAAGAGGATTACGGATCCAAAATACTGTGCATACTACAGGAGGGTTCTTCATCCCACCAAGGCTTGCTTCGGCCTCAAAAACAAAATCCAAGTCTTAATTGATTCCGGCGTCATAATGACAAAACAAACCAAATAAAGACGACCTAACCTCCGACAGGTATATGAGGTTAAACTGCACCTGCAAACTCCGAAGAGTATACGCGTATAAATTGCTCATCCTTTTAACTCCACTGGGTACACAAGTATAAACTATCTCCCCTAACTCTGATGAGTATATGAGTATAAACAGATTCTCCATCCACACTCTGAAGAGTATACGAGTATTAACTGTTCATCATTTGTACTCCAATAAGGTATACGAGTATAAACTGTTTCCCAAACCTCCAACTGGTACACAAGGCTAAACTGTTCCCTACCTTTGATGGGAAGTTTCTGGAGAATACTACACTTGGTATTCTTAAGGATAACCCAAAACCAATAAATTCTCAATCATGATAAAAAATGATTAAGAACCTCCCACTCTGACTATTTTTCATTTCCAAGATGATTAAAACCCTCCCACTGTATTGATATAGTGATTTGTGCAAATCGACACCCCACTGTCATTTGTATCACCTCACTCCCATTTTGGTCAAACCTTTAAACAGTTAGAACCACAACCAAAATCCCCTCTCAATTCCATCCATGAACGAGAGGTCTACTTCAAAATCGAGCGGTCAAACCTTTAAACAGTTAGGGCCAAAGCCAAAATCCCCTCTCGATTTCTTCCATGAACGAGAGGTCCACAAATTGAACGATCAAACATTTAAACAGTTAGGATCGTCTTAAACTCCCTTTGGTCAAACCTTTAAACAGTTAGGACTAAAGCCAAAATCCCCTATCGATTCCTTCCATGAACGAGAGGTTCACAAATTGAACGATCAAACCTTTAAACAGTTAGGATCATCTCAATCTCCCCTTTAGCCAAACCTTTAAACATTTAGGGCTAAAGTTAGAATTTCATCTCGATAAACGAGAAATTCATTTTCAGATTGGATAACTAAACCTTTAAACAGTTAGGGTTATCTAAATCTTTTCAATTCTCGTAGTGGAGATCCCACTCTTAGTTTTATCCTTCAGATTCTCGAAGTGGAGATCCCATTTTGAGTTTCTTTTGCACCTGGAGATAGAATATAAAATTCTTTCTCTCTAGCACAAGGTTCGTCTTTGCCCTAAGAGAAGACACAACACAGCTCTTCAGTACCAAAATCCATGCATTTCATGCATGGAGAACTTTATCTCGACTCCTGAATAGAGATAATTTACACCTAACACGCATTGCCGGTTAGTCTTTTGCCGTGAAAAGGACAAAAGCCCACGTATTCGACATCATGGTAGGTCGTTATTAATAACGCCAAAATTCGTGCCTTACACGCACAGGAAATTTACCTCGAATCCTAAGTAGAGATAAGCCTATGTCTAACACCCGTTACCGGTTAGTCTTTCACCGTGAAATGGACACAAGAATTCATTTTGGGGGACTTTATCTCGATCCCTAAATAGAGATAAGTTTATGCCTAACACGCGTTGCCGAGTAGCGCATTACCGTGAAATTGACAAAGTCTATGTATTCAATAATATAGCACCAAGTCTAAGAGAGTTTATTCTCTTAGCGCAACGTTACATGCGGAACGGGCTTAAACAATCTGCATGCTAGCCCTACTCAAACTGGTCAAGCTCAACAGAGGCCTCGACCCTGCCGACTCATCAAATCGATATTCTTTTATGCCGACACGAAAGGCGAGATCAGCCGACCCTATCGTCGAAGACGACCCATCAAGGGCACTCGACCATTTACTCGGCGAGTCACGGAGATGACTTGATGAACATTCCCTATCGACTAGATTGGGGAATAACCTCCGCCTCAAGTCTCTTCCCCTGAGCACATGTCAGCATCTCAGTCCACCTCGGACAAGACTTATCTTGATTCTAGCCTGAAAGTCTTCATGACTTGTCAGCCTCCCACGTGCCTTCTGCCATGCTCTTAATCATTTTTTGGAAAATGCGGAGACACCCTATCTCGTACCGAAGTGACTTTCCCTCCAGTCGCCAGCCGACACCTGTAAAGCGAGAGATGACTCAGCATGCCAGCGTGCCTTCTATCATGCTCTTATTCACTTCCTGGAAAATGCGGAGACACCATCTCCCATACCGAAGTGACTTCTCATCCAGTCGACAGCCGACACCTGTAAAACGAGGGATGACTCGACTCTTAGCCCGCACTTTGCCACCGCCTCTCTATGCTTGGCTGGAAGTGACCCATTTATCCCCATCATAGTGATAGATACAGGTAGACTCCAAACCTCAAAAGGGGGGTTTGCTCGCTCTCTAAAAAAGAGAAAGAACACACACAATTCTTCATATACACAAAGGAGCTCATACAGACCCTTTGTAATGGCACATTGTCACCTCAAGAGCCACCTCGGTTCCTGAACTTCCCCTTTCCCACTCAAGTTTCATTAACATGACCGTCGGAGGAACCACGGGGGAACCGGTCCCCGCCTTCTCACGAATTCTTCTTGTCTATGCAGTATGGACTTCAGCCTCCACTTCAAGAACCAGGCATAAAGTCGGAGAAGGAGGCGACTCATTCATCAATCACCTCTTCCTCGTCCCAGTGAAGACTCAAAAGGAACCGATTCTGCCCCCGGATCCGCACCTATCATCATCTGGATATGATTGATTGTTTGATCCTAGCCATCAACAATAGTGGTTTTTAGGTTTTAATGAGATACATACAATATTTTTTTTAGGAATTGCTTATTTTTGGTACAAATACAAATTAGAAAAACACTGTATATTCTTCGAATGGGTTTAAAACTTTAAGATTTGGGTTTAAGGGCGCAGATTTTTGATAAATCGAAGTCAAAAGTTGGGTTTCTAAGCAAGAACAAAGTTCCTTCATTCGGAGGCCCTTAAAAGGGTCATTAATTTATTGATAAGGCCCCCCCGGAAACAAAGATCCTTCATTCGGAGGCCTTATCACCAAAAGCACCGCCCTGAACAAATATCCCTCAAGTATTAGACCGGCCTCCAAGCCCGAGCTCTTCTCTTATACATGATCACACAATCCCTAGGGTTTTAATAGGGCTAATAGTCCCATTCCAGCTCCCGCCCCGACCTTTGGCCCTAACCATCATAAAAACGAAACGATGGTCGCGGTGCTCCTCCCAGCCCCCGCGCCCGCCGCCCGCGGCGGCGCGCGGCTCCTGCTCGCCCCCCGCTCGTTTGGCACTTCTAAACTCCCAAACCCCGCTCCTAATTACGTCGCAGGTCTCCCGGCCGTGGGCCAACGCCGGATCATCCCCACCCCCGATCGTCGTATCGGGCCCCCCCGCGCTGCTCCCTGACCTCCCGATCGATCCGCCATCGCGCCCCCGCCGCCACCGCCCCGCCGCACCCGGCCGCGGCCGGAAGGAAAGGAAGAAGAAGACGCGGGAAGCCGACGACCAAGAAGGGACGAGAAGTATCGGGCTTCAAACCCTAAGATCACTGAGCAGTTTGCTGATTTGAAGAGGAAGCTGGCGGACGTGACTCCCGAGCAGTGGGATAGCATACCTGAGATTGGCGATCATTCTCTCAGAAACAAGAAGAAGAGATTTGAGAGCTTCGTGCCCGTGCCCGATACTCTTCTCGAAAAGGCCAGGCAGGAGCAGGAGCACGTCACGGCGCTCGATCCCAAGAGCAGGGCTGCGGGTGGGACCGAGACACCATGGTCTCAAACTCCGGTCACGGATTTGACTGCTGTAGGAGAAGGAAGAGGTACCGTGCTTTCTCTGAAGCTGGATAGGTTGTCGGATTCTGTTTCGGGTCTTACTGTGGTGGATCCTAAGGGGTATTTGACTGATCTCAAGAGCATGAAGATCACCAGTGATGCTGAGATCTCGGATATTAAGAAAGCCCGGTTGCTTCTCAAGTCGGTGACACAGACTAACCCTAAGCATCCCCCGGGGTGGATTGCGGCAGCTAGGCTGGAAGAGGTTCTGGAAGAGGTTGCCGGAAAGATTCAGGCCGCAAGGCAGTTGATTCAGAAGGGATGCGAAGAGTGCCCAAAGAATGAGGACGTTTGGCTCGAAGCTTGTAGGCTTGCTAGCCCTGACGAAGCCAAGGCGGTGATTGCGAGAGGGGTGAAGGCTATTCCTAACTCGGTGAAGCTCTGGATGCAGGCCGCCAAATTGGAGAATAACAACGAGGTGAACAAGAGTAGGGTCTTGCGGAAGGGTCTGGAACACATTCCGGATTCAGTTAGGTTGTGGAAGGCGGTCGTGGAGCTTGCGAATGAAGAAGATGCTAGGCTTTTGCTTCATAGAGCAGTGGAGTGCTGTCCTTTACATGTTGAGTTGTGGATTGCTCTTGCGAGGCTGGAGACCTATGAGCAGGCAAAGAAAGTGCTTAACAAGGCGAGAGAGAAGCTTCCCAAGGAGCCTGCAATCTGGATTACTGCTGCGAAACTCGAGGAAGCTAATGGGAATACTTCATCTGTTAGCAAGGTGATAGAGAGAGGTATAAGATCGTTGCAGAGAGAAGGGTTGGATATTGATAGAGAGGCTTGGATGAAGGAGGCGGAGGCGGCTGAGAGAGCCGGGTCTGTGGTGACTTGCCAGGCTATAATTCACAACACTATTGGCATCGGAGTGGAGGAAGAAGACCGGAAGAGGACTTGGGTGGCTGATGCTGAGGAATGCAAGAAGCGGGGTTCTATTGAGACCGCAAGAGCTATTTATGCTTATGCACTCACTGTCTTCTTTACAAAGAAGAGCATCTGGCTCAAAGCAGCACAGCTCGAAAAGAGTCATGGAACAAGGGAGTCGCTTGATGCTCTGTTAAGGAGAGCAGTAACTTATAAGCCGCAGGCCGAGGTTTTGTGGTTGATGGGTGCGAAAGAGAAGTGGCTTGCAGGAGATGTTCCTGCTGCGAGAGCAATCCTTCAAGAAGCTTATGCTGCAATTCCTGACTCTGAAGAAATCTGGTTGGCAGCCTTCAAGCTTGAGTTTGAGAATCGTGAACCTGAAAGAGCAAGGATGCTTCTGGCCAAAGCTCGAGAGAAGGGAGGAACAGAGAGGGTGTGGATGAAATCTGCTATAGTTGAGAGGGAGTTGAATAATATTGAAGAGGAGAGGAAGTTGCTGGAAGAAGGGCTGGAGCGTTTCCCTAAATTCTTTAAGCTGTGGTTGATGCTTGGGCAGATGGAAGAACGACTGGGTCATGTAGAGAGAGTGAGTGAAGCTGACCGGCTGCATCACATAGAGGAAGCGAGGAGAGCTTATGAGAAGGGTTTGAAGCAGTGTCCTTCTTGTATTCCTCTTTGGCTCTCACTTGCTAGCTTAGAAGAGAGGATGAATGGTTTGACCAAAGCTCGTGCTGTCCTTACTAACGCGCGAAAGAAAAACCCTCAGAACCCTGAGGTTTGGCTTGCAGCTATCCGGGCTGAATCCAGGCATGGAATTAAAAAGGAAGCAGATAGTTTGATGGCTAAAGCGTTGCAAGGTATAAGCCCGTCTAGTGAATTCTGTGGGTGCTGCTTCGATGAGATGGCTCCTCGGCCCCAACGCAAGGCAAAGAGTGCAGATGCTCTCAAAAGGTGTGATCATGATCCTCATGTTATTGCTACTGTGGCCAAACTATTCTGGCATGACAGGAAAGTGGACAAAGCAAGGAGTTGGTTCAACAGAGCAGTTACTCTCTCCCCTGATGTTGGAGATTTCTGGGCATTATACTACAAATTTGAACTTCAGCATGGTAACGAGGATACTCAAAAGGATGTTCTCAAGAGATGTGTTGCTGCGGAGCCAAAGCATGGCGAAAGATGGACATCAATCTCTAAAGCTGTGGAGAACTCTCACTTGCTCGTGGAAGCCATTCTTAAGAAAGTTGTGGTTGCTCTTGGCAAAGAAGAGAACCCCGCTATTGCAGATGGCAGTAGCGCCAGGTCTTAGATTACCTGCAACTCTGACTGAATCATTTAGTAACAGTAACTATCCAGTTCAAACATGGTTTTTCTTTGCTGGTGAGTCCTTTCTTGCCAGTATTCTACTTATCTGTGATTGAGATTGAGATACTAGTTATGATAATTTCAGAATGTATTCTGTGATTGGACAAATGGTGCTGATTAAACAGAATCTAGACTGTTAAACTTACAGTACATCCATATATCTGTTAACACTTTTCTTGTTGAATATCTGTCAGTCTATCTCTCAGCTTGATTATTGATTTTATTCACTAATTAGGAGCGATCATGTAGTAAAAGATTATGGAAAACGGATGTGCTATGACATTTGATTTTGGTGCTTTGATTTATCCACAAATGCTTCGCTACTGGTTTTTCTATGCCTTCTGCTGGTTGATTGAGTGTCTTCTCATTCTGTTTTTGCTTTTGTAATTATATGTTTTAGGTTTAAAATTTGGGAGTGGTGGGGAGATGCATTGGGTGCCTAATTATTGGGTTGAATGCATTAAGATCAGCCATTTTTGCTAGACAATAAATGGAATTTAGTAGGAGAAGATGAACATATCCATTCACCAAGCATTTGGAGAGTTGTCGCTGAAGTCGGATTCCCGTCATAATCGGTGGAAGACTCCTGGACATCTCTTTTTTGTTTTTTTGGTTAAAAGTTGTCGCATAACATTCTTATAGGATCACTTACTTGATCTTCTCTCTGTGCGGTTCTAGTACTTTCTAATTTCTACCATGACATCATGTGTATGAATGTCAGTTTGAGTTCTAGAGTTTTAAAGTCCCTAGTTGATGTGCTCGGAATGTTTAATTGTGTTGATAGAGTGGAACATCAGGTCTTTGCTACCCTATGTTAAACCTGGAGAGCTTTGATGCTCTGGTGTGCTGTCTTACAACTTAGATGATGGGAACATGATCAATAAGCAAGTCTTGGGCGACCTTTCTCCAATATGAGCATGCAACGAGATAGTTCTTGTTTTATTCTGGTGTATAGAGCATTTTCTTCATTACATATAAATTTGACCTATTTACATGTCAATTTCTTTTAGTTTGGTTTTCCTCACATATTTATACAAGATTCTGCCTGTCTTTTTAATTGAGTTGCAACTTTAGTCTGTCATTTTTCCTGCCTTGATCGAGTGCTTTTGTTCTGTAACGCTGAGGCATGTCGATGTTACTCCAATATTTGGTGCTAGTTTTCTTCCTGTCTTGTGATTGACAACTTCGATTTTTTTTTTATTTTTTTATTTTTGCATGCTGTGAATTTTATAGAGTTCCTCACGCATTTCGGAGGAAGGACAGATCAATTTAATTCAGGTTCTGGAGAAAAAGGAGAGGGATAATATGCTACTTAGACAAGACCTATGTGGATGATTTTGATCTGCTGACCATCATTGGATGCGGAGCCTTTGGAGAGGTTTGCAATTGCAGTTTTCTTATATGCCTAAAGTTCATTTGGAGAGGATGATCATGGTTTACTTCTTTTTATTTTATTTTATAATACTGAGGAAATTTTATGAGGACCACAGTTTTCAAGGTGCCTTGCAACTATTGACACAACGGGATTGAAGTTGCTATATTTTGGCACATCTGATAGTCTCTTCCTTCGACTATTTTTCTGCCTGCTCTGTATTATCTAGATGGGCATCATTAGTGATATAGATGATGATCATGCAGATGAAAAGATAATATTTGTGATAATTCATGTCCCCTCCTGAACTTTTGGTTACTGTTGGGAATTTCCTCACGCCTTATGCCCCCTTCTGAACTTTTGGTTACTATTGGGAATTTCTTCATGCATATCCCTGGACTTCGTTGGTTTTGTTATCCTCTCCTTGATGTAGTGTAAATATAATGTCCATCATGTGTTAGATGCACCCCTATTCTCCATAATAGACATAGACATACTATAAGAAACCAAAGTCCGCTTATTTTAGTTATATATGTTAGAATATAAAGTTTTAACCCTCAACCCTCGTCACAACTTCAGTGTTCTTATGCTATGGAAGAGGCTTTAAGATGCTATCAAAGCTCCTTTGTTCAAATTCCACTAGTCATGCATTTAAAACAGCTGTTAGAAAAGAAGTATCATTTATTCTTAATAGCTTGGGTTTTGGCTCAGAAAAGGATACTCAACCAGCTCAGGAAAGGATACTCAATCAGCTGTGATGTTAAAGTTTGTCAGTCTGAAACCTTACCACAACTTTGAAGTTTTGGCGGTGGAAAAGACTTTACGAATATGCATGCCTTGTGCTGGATTCATGCAAAAGAGAGAAACAATCGAGAGTTTATGCTGCTTTGTATCACTATAAGGTTTATTTTGCAACTTCCATATATCTGTTCTTTTGTGCGCGTCTTTACCTCTTCGACTTTCCTGCCTCTTGTGTCTTCACTCCATGTTTTGCGTTTACTATATTATTATACTGTAAGCTGCACAATTGAGAGTGTCATCCACTCTTAGCTTTTTTCCTTAGCACATATAATGATTGAGCTTCATTGCCAGCTAGCCAGGTCGTAAGTAATGGATATGAGGGACATGTCTGTCTGAAGAATTCCATATTGACAGGAAGATATCGGGTATATATCAGAGATGTTTAATAAATATTGTGTTTCGTATCGGATATACTATGTGTGTATTGATACTTGATGCAACAAAGAATGAATGTATTGAGAAAGATTTTATTTTATTTTTTTCAAAACTTTTGTGAAGGAATTTGGCCTCAATTGAACCTAGTTCTTTCCAATTGCTGACATATGCAGATTGAACAATAAAACCAAATCAACATTTAAAACAAATTAAAATCCATATGGATGCTGCAATATTTCTGTCAATTTTTTTAGGCTGAAATGTCACGTGAAATATTAGAAGGATCATGATGTATAGCCTTAAAATGGTCAAAATAGGTAAAGAATATTGAGACTATATTGTATTATAGTAAACTTTATAAAAGAATATATTGGTTGAGGCCGATATAGCTGCAATGTTGGAGATATTTCACTCATATATTTTTTCCAAAAAGATATCAAGACCTTTTTTTTTTGCGGCAAGCGTTACTCGATATATTAGTCAATATTATCAACCATATAAGGGATATTTAAAACAATGCAACTAGCCTCTTTTGCTCTATCATATATTCATATTTAAGAAATCGATCATATTTGATGTTGCTGATATTTAATGCCATAAAGAAGGGCTTTGAAAATAAATACAACTAGCCTCTTAGTTTGGAGTATCATATAGTAATTGGCAGACTGTTGTATTGACAGTTTTGCTCGATTGGAATGAATTGACCTAGAACTTAATGACTTGAATCACAGAGTCTCCTGCAACATAATCTCAAGCACCAATGGGAGCTGCAACTTTAGGGGCTGTTTGGTTGTATGTTTTTACCATGTAAAATGATGGAAAGTGTAAAAAAGTGGGTCCCAATGTCAGCTTTCATCACTTTCAATTGTTTGTTTGTATTTGTGAAAATAGTGTAAAGTGATTTCATATGCTGATGTGGCTTGTAAAGTGATTTCATAAAAAAAAGACATGATTTTAGGAGAAAGCTGACATTGAAGTCAGGAAAAAATAATAAAAAATAATTCCAACCAATATGATCATTTGAGTAGGGATCACTTTTTACACTTTCCAAACAAACAATTAAAGTTACATTTACAAACCAAACAAGCAATTTATGATTCCAATGGAATAAAAAACAAACAAAGAAAAATATAAAAGTAAAATTGATGAGGTGGACAACAACTTTCCAAGTTGTGTCATAAATACACAACTTTACCAACAACAACCTTAATCTCAAACGCCGATGGGAGCAGAGAGGTTTTAATATGCACTAAACATGAATACAGCGGTATAAATGTTTTCCACAATTACCAAACAATTTTCAAATTCCCAAAATATGTTCTTCCTGCGCAACTCACTCTTAGGAGGTGTTTGGTTCAATAGTGAACAAGAATAGGATTATGAATCCGATTTTTTTATGGAATCCTATCAAATTCATAGAAAAATTTTAAGGCAAGTTTATGGATTCATGAAATCTTTTTTTTTTCTTCAGTTTTTCTATAGAGTGCCCATGGGCACTCTATAAGGGAGGAGAGAGATAGAGAGAAATGAATAGCCGATGGGCCCCCTGATTTGCATTAATTTCTGTGCATAGTTTATTTCTCTCTATCTCTCTCCTACCTTATAGAATGCCCATGGTCACTCTATAGAAAAACCGTTTTTTTTTTCTATTTTTGTTTCATAATATGAAAAAAATAGAACTCAACTTTAGAGAAACCCTCCAATTCCTATTCTTTAGTTTGGTTTGGAATGAGAACATGATTTTGTCTCATAATAATATAGGGTTTGTGAAGAAATGGAATCCGAAAAAAAGGAGAGGGAGAGTAGTACAGGTGTGTCAGCTTTTTGCCCAAAATCCTCCCAAATCATTAGGATTTGGGTTTCTATAAAATCACCATACATTTTTAACTTTATAGATTTCGAAATCTATAAATTTGTTGTGAACCAAACTCAAGAATAGGATTCATAAAGAATTCTTTATTTACGATTTTTTCCCTCTCAGATTCAATTCCTATTCCTATTCCATAAAAGGGGTGAAACAAACACGCCCTTATTTGATGTAAAGTTGGGATTTTGGACCTAAGCGCAACCAATTTCAAATGGATTTTAAAGAAATTGGCGAAATCCCGTTCTTGTTAAATCATTCTCCCTTTAAAAGAGTGAGTATTAGAAAAACTTTCGTTTCTCAAAATGCCCTTCATCTTTCATGAAATTAACCAATTTACTCTATTGTCATAACTTTCAAACTTATTAAATCACATTAATTAAAGGTTTATACTATAGTATAACTATTCTTTAGATTATTAAATAAATTGAATCTAATATAATAATTAAATCAGTTATCATAATAGTATTAGATTATCAAGTGTATGATGTTTTAATATATCGTAGGAATTATTATTTATGTAATAATGCAACTCCAATTAGATTATATTGGTACAAATTTATATTAAACTTTAGATTTTTAATAGTATAAGATTATAATTAAACATTAAATTTTTTTAGTGCTTATCAGCTGCAAATAACGTTTGTATCTCATCTAGAGTGATTTTAAATAAAAATTAAAATAATTAATTATGTAACTCTAATTAAATTAATAAATTAATCGTTATCTAATCGAATTATTAACAATAACTTGGTGTTTATGTGCGCATATGTAAAGACATAGATGAATTGTTTTATTCAGACGTCAATAGTTTATAGTGCCTAAGAGACACAAATCAAGATAGAAAATAGTTCACACTTCCCTAATTCTACCTTTATTGGTCCCCACAAAACTTAGATTTTCTAATGAGTGAAAATTTGATGTCCCTCTAATGGAAATATTTCATAGAGAAGAAAATTAGCAGTTAGTAAAGCTTCTTTTCGTGCATTAATACATTTGACAAGTGAGCTCCTCTTGATACTTCCAACAAATTATCATGAACCCCTCCAACTTCCATCTGTTTTATTTCACTTCCTATATAATATCTTCCCAGGCCCCCCCTCTGAAAGTATCCTAGATGGGGTAAATAGGGTTTATGCTAATCTAATCCGATATTAATGTCAATATAAAACTTATTAACAAATTATCTTAGCAAGTGTGAAATACAACAATATATATGAGCTAAGATATGCAATTTAAACTAAGAGCGATATAAACATGAGGCAATGGTGAAATAGAATAGAATGAACTATAAACACAAAAATTACGCCAAGGCAAAACACATACATACAATATGATCACGGAGTTCGGTCCTTCTGACCTACGTCTTCGCTTCCCACTCCTGGGGAGAATCCACTATCACAACGGGTTTTCAACGTTCACCCAAAACGTTTACAACTCTACACAATTTTGGTTTTCTAGCTCACCGAAAACTTTCACAACTCACACTCTTACAATCACACTCTACACCCTCTAAGTGTTGGTCTCTAGTCCGTGTTGCCTTTCTCAAATGCTCGGATTTATAACCTCTCCCTAGGTTTTACTACCGACGGCAGTGCTCTTGGAATCAACCCTATCTCTCTCCACTCACTCCTCTCAGTGTACAAATGTATTACAAAGTGTATCTCACAAAAAAACACAAATACAAAATGTTTGTTCTCTAAAATGGATGAGAACTGTATGTAAGCCCACACTCAATGTTACAAACCTACAACCCTAATTATACTATGTATGAAAATAGTTAAGCTCAAGTAGGTGTGTGTAAACAATGAGCAATAACAAAACCAAACTCAATTGTAAATCTAGCTTAGAGAAAAAATAAATAACAAATATAAATATGTAAAGCTAGAATTGAGTGTATTGAAACTTCTCTAAGATGACATGAGTAAGAGAGGTGAGAGATTTAAGCTCAGACACCAAAGATGATCTCTTCTTCCTCTTGTGAAAATTACTTCACAAACAAAACTTGTAAACACACTAAACAAACTTTAAAACCCATTGTAAACTTTTTTAAAACTTTTGTTAAAATTACCCACAGAAGTTAGATGATATAGGGTATATATAGGATCATAGAACAAGCCCCAAAACCAAGGAAAAAGATAAAAAACAAAAACCTAAAAATCTAAAAAAACTAACCGTTATAGTGTTATAAGTCGACTTGCTACTGTGCATGAGTCAACTTATAAACTAGCCATTAAAGGATGAAAAATATCTGTTAAGTCGACTTAT